CTGTCTTAAATACACTCAATGACTTGGCGCCCACAGATTTCTGCAGCAGAGTTCCACAGATTCACCATTCTCTGTCTGAAGAGATTCCCCCTCATCTGTAATGTGTTCTAAAGGGTTGTCCGTTCACTCTGAGGCTCTGTCCTCGGGTCCTAGTCTCTCCTGCTAGCTGGAGACATCTTCCCATGTCCACCATATCCAGGCTACCTCTAACTTTTAATCAGATTGCCCCTCATCCTTTTCATTGTTCATTGAATACCAGCCCAGAATCCTTAACAGCTTCTCACCTGACGAGCCCTTCGTTCCTGGGATCATTCTTGTAAACCTTCGCTGGACCCCCTCCAGTGCCAGCATATCCTTCCTTAGATACTGGGCCCAAAACCGCCGACCGTATTCCACATGTGGTCTGACTAGAGCCTTGTACAGCCTCTCTGCTCTTGTATTCTAGCTGTCTTGAAATGAATGCTAACATTGCATTTGCCTTTCTAACTGCCAACTAAACTTGCATGTTTAACCTTAGCAGAATCCTGAACTAGGACTCCCAAGACTGTTCTTCCTACTAAAGTGTATAACCTCGTACTTTCCCACAATGTATTCCATCTGCAACTTCTTTGCCCACTCTGTCCAAGTCCTCCTGCAGCTTCCCTGCTTTCTGAACATTACCTGTTCCTTTGTGTCATTTGTAAACTTAGCAACAATGCCGTCAGTTCATTTGTCCACATCTAATGTGATCTGAGTCTGATGTCTAACGTGAATATTTGCAGTCCCAACATGGATCTGTTGCCGGTCAGCCAATCCTATAACTATGCCAGTGTCTTACCCGTCACACCATGGGCTCTTCACTTATTTATCAGCCTCCTGTGTGGCACCATATCAAAGGCCTTCTGGAAATCCAAATAGATTACATTAACTGGCTCCCTTTTGTCTAACTTGCTTGTTGCCTTCTCAAAGAAATCTAACAGGTTTGTCATGCATGATCTCCCCTTGATGCGGCCATGCTGACTTAGCCCTGTTTTACCATGCACTTCCAAGTACTCTACAATCTCATCCTTAGTGAACTCTAAAACCAACAACTGAAGTCAGGCTAACTGGCTGACAGTTCCCTGACTTCCACGTCCCCCTCTTCTTAATCAGGGGTGTTACATTAGCCATTTTCCAGTCCTCTGGCACTCTCCCTGACTCCAGTGATTCCTGAAAGATCAGCATCATTGCCTCTACAATCTCCTCAGCTATTGCCTTTAGAACTCTGGGGTGTAGTCCATCTGGTCTAGGTGATTAATCCACATTCAGACCTTTCAGCTTCCCCACACCTGCTCCTTAGTGATGGCCACTGGACTTACCTCTGGCCCCTGACTGTTAAAGTCCTGATATGCTTTTTCTGTCTTCCGCTATGAAAACTGATGCAAATTAAAAATGAATCAGTACCAGAGAGATGTTTTGGCAGTTATTAAGAATTGTCATGCTGTTATAGAGGAATATTCTGCAGAATCGTCTTTGTTCCCTTCTGTTCCCTGCCTCTGCAACACCTGCAGTGTTGCAAGGCCTCTGCGTTCCTGCATTTTTGCTCATTGCTGATATTTGGTCATAAACTCTGAAATTCCATTTTTCTTTCTTTGACTTTTAAGATGGGTCTTAACCTTGTTGCTGACCAAGCTTTTGACCATTTGTCTTGATCGCTTCTTATCTATATCAAATTTCAGTTGGAAACACTCCTACGAAATGTCCAGGGATGTTTCACTGCACAAAAGGTACTGCATAAGTTTCATGTTTTGAACAAAAACTGTGCTGTCCAAGAATTACATAAAAAAAAGTATTGTTACTTAACACTATATATTTGATAAACATTTCATTTTTAAGCTTAAGTCTCAACAGGGATTGGTTCAACCTGTTCTCCTTTGACTTCCACTCAAAAGTTCCCCTCTACTTTGCAGACACTGGTGGGTCCCTTCCTTTTCCCTGGGACCAAACCAAAGTGTGCCACAGCCAACAGGAATTCACTTTGATTCTCCTCAGTGTTCCTGTTATTCTGTGGGCTGCTCCCAGAAGCATCCAGCTGGATGACCCTCCAACTCTCTAAGTGTCTTGAGATTATGGACAACCCGACTGAGGTATGGACCTCACTAGTTTCTTGCTCAATGCCTCCAAAATCAGAACACATCTTTGGTTTGCTACTGATTTAAAGTTTCTGGTAAATTCTTTATCACTGTTTATTAAAACTGCTTCTGTGACTGTCTGTTTTTGAAAGAAAAAATATCAAATGGACTATAAAGCAGCTTGTCTGTCTCAAATTGAGGATTAAACATATCATAACAGCGTGTTAACCTTGTTTCATTGCTATATTAAAAAGAAACTTAGTTTGCAAAGTCATGTCTTTGTTAATTTGTGCAGAGTGGCTCAAAACCAGAAATGAAATGTCTGAAAAGTGTTAGTTCATCACCTAAATATAGTTTCCAGTTTCCAGTAATAAAGTAAGTTCAGCTTCATCTCAAATCCTGCTACTTAATGAAAAAGGCATGAGCATTTTAGGTGAGAGAATAAAAGACAAGATAAAAACCTGAATGGTTGCCATTTCTCCTTACCTATTTCATAGCCTCCCGAGTCTCCACCTATCATTAAATAAAAAGCGGAAGAACTGTGGATGCTGTAAATTGGAAACAAAAGCAGAAATTGCTGGAAAAGCTCAGTAGGTCTGGCAGCATCTGTGAAGAGAAATCAGAGTTAACGTTTCAGTCCGGTGACCCTTCTTCAGAACCTCGGTTCTTGGAAGGGTCACCAGACCCAAAACGTTAACTCTGATTTCTCTTCACAAATGCTGCCAGACCTGCTGAGCTTTCCCAG